AGGTAGTAGTTAATATATTGGGTATAACTCAAGAATGGTAAAACGTATAATAATAGTTTATGGGTCGAAATAAAGCTTATAATAAGAGGAATATGAATAGCCATAGTTTAGTTACTTAATAATTATACAATAGGAATATACGTTTAGTATTGGTCCATAAATGGATCCCAAAAGTTACCATTCATTATTCTTGTCGGGACATAACAGGGATATATGTGAGTTTTCTACGGATCGCCTCTATGTATTATTCACTTTGCCGCAAGTTATTCAGAGTAGATAAATACCATAACCAGCAATGGAATCCAGGACTGGTGTTTCATATTATTTAGGTTTTGTTAGCTAGCAGCATGGTTAAATCGAGACAATCCATGCTGGATGCGCATATATACCAACAACGATCTATTAAAATTCAGTCCTGAATATCAATCAATAGCGGAATAATAGTTAACTCTTTTTAAGCATTATACCTGTTGAACAGGTTAATGGGTATCTGGACTAAGTAAGTCAGTAGTAAACACATGGGGTTGTGAAATGAAAGGTACTAGATTGAAGTCTCAATATAAACATAAACATTGAGATGCAGGTACGTTCAGCTAGTGAGTCATAAATAGAATGAAACTCTGCTTTGTGGACTTTACTGCTGATCACAATCCTACTGTTCAAAATTCTTAACTGACTTATTATTACTAATATCAACACTTAAATTGAGATTCAGTAATCAGCAATTCAACAGGGGATGTTTTTTTCCTGGTCACTATATTTCCATCATTATTTATTGTGAGAAAATAATATGTATTCTGTCCTTTTTACTAATTGTCAGGTAAATTAATAATTCGATCACTGCCTTCATTGGTTGAGTCTCGAAAATTCTGTTTAGAACTACCGAATCCAGCTAATGTTAGCTTTGATTTTACAACTTTTCTGCAAATCTATATATTTTCTATGTCTTTTGGTAAGTGAATTTTCGAGCTTATATTTATTAAACATGCTAACAACCAACGATATTTATGAAATGATAATTACTCAGGCGAATTGTACAATGTTAGTTATTAAAAGGCACCCGGCATGAAATCCTGCTTTACCTACGTTTTGTGCTAGGGTATACCTTCCATATTGAGGGAAGAGATGCTCCCTCTAGGATTCAAACTTCAAGAGATGCAGTCCAATAGTAGCATACGATAAAACTTTCATACATCTATTCTTTCTCTCATTGTCTCGGAGCAACTCTCATGTATACCATTGTTTTGAGATCGGAGTTTTCCAACACCCCTAGCTAGATGCTTCGTACACACCGACCCGGTTTCAGCATCAGATGTTCGCTTGTCATACTTTCATTCCCGTAAATTACCCCTGTCAACAGAATACTATCTTACTACTCTTCACCTACCTAATTTGTTTCCCCAAAATACACAAATTTCTAATTGGACAGATGAATTATATTCTTTTTTATTTATACAGTATTTTATTGACTTTTATTTTCTCCGCAGGTTTATACTATAATATGAGACATTTATATTTGAGGCGGCGTAAAATAATTGGTCCTCGACCAATTAAAGGAGCGGATCAAATGGGTTATTTTTCTTTTGTACCATTCTTGCGTTCATTAGTTCGTGGATCAAATATGAAAAATTTCTCTACTACCACCAGTACTTTTAAGAAGAAGTATGTAGATAATCGCAGCAGTTTACCGAAATTAAACTAACTTATTTCTTCGTCTAACATGTATATTTCCATGATGTAATAATTGTTAAATGAAGTGATATTTTATTCTATGTATCTTAATGAATAAATCAAGTGTTTTTTTATTGTCTAAACCTTTTTCTTATTTCATTGAAATTATGGACCGATCAATGTTCGACCAACATTGAAAACCTGAAAGTACTGGACGACTGTTTCGTCCTAGTATGGAACTCCTCAGTAGTGCGCATCCAAGATCCCGCATGCGGGATTCTAATTTTTGTCTTATGCGAATATTGCATAATTTCGTTAACTTACAAAGTCCTTGATATTACTTAGTTAGACAACAATGTTAAATAGATATATATGTTTACCAATTGTATGTTTCAGTATAACGGGTTAATGACAAAGTATATAATTCTTCGATGTGATAATTAGGCAAAACAGCATATTGTACAACGGTGGTAATAAAAGATACATATGATATGTGCCGGAAGAATTTTTTCCAGGGAGTCACTATTTAAGCGGACAGATGATGAGTGGAAATTGGATAAATGCAGGATGGGGATGGTAGTATATATATATATATATATATATATATATATATATATATATATATATATATATATATATATATATATATATATATATATATATATATATATATATATATATATATATATATATATATATATATAAATTGTTTTTAGTGCATTCAGTTGTATACACCAACTGGTTGTCTGACCGAATGACGCTTAATAGTGGGTAAAGTAAGTTTACGAGATCGGTTTGAGAGTATATAAAAAATTCATATAATAATGGTGTCATAGCAATCGCTGAATGCGACAATGTAAGCCGTGAGTTTCTCAGAATTATATTGATACATGATTATAAATGTAATCTGTACACAAACGGTCAGATTTTATTGAGTTCACCTTATGTGCATCTAAAAAAATAAATTAGTAGCTTCAAGGTGTACGAGTAATCTGTATATTGAACTGTATATAGCTTAAATCTGAATCTTGGATTTGATAAGTACACTATTTTAAGTGAATGATAAATAATGGGGTGGATTTTTGCCTATGAATTTTTCCAAATACACAATCGCGCCAGTGATGTTTCTCGTAACTAAATCGTTATATTAAGTTGTAAGGTTGTGGTTGGAGAAAGCCGATAGGAAACAATGAGACTAGGTTTCGGGTTATTTAGTAATGGTCAACGAAGTGTACCTGCAATCTTGAGGCGACGAATGTTCCCCATCAAATCCGAACCCATACCACCCAGCATCACAGTCAAAAACGTTACCGCTGAACTGTTTGAACTGACCTCCCGAAGGACTCAGATATATTTGCAATTCATTGATTATTGAGTAGTGATCGACGAAGTCCTTATTGCTGATCGAATTCAATTGACCAAATTGTTATGTGGTGATTAGTCTAACAAACTCAACATCGTGTGCCCTATGTTGAGATGTAAGGTGGAGATTCGTTATAGTGAGTCACTGAAGTAGACTTATTTACAGATCAGGTATGTATTATGATATCATTTCATTTCCTAACTTTACTGTCAAGAAAGATGTGTAAAACATTTTTCATCAACTCAAATTTGCTATTAATTACAGTCTATTATGTGTATTTTGTATATGTTAAAAAAATTAATATACAGTTTATTTATGTCTTATGCGAATAATTAAACTTTTATTATTTAGTATTTGATGTCTTTTTGTCTGTGGTATGACCTAGTAAAAAAATTGTTAGTTTGCTCTTAATCTTATTCATTATACACCAGTAAATGTTATATTTTCTTTGTCCATTCAAATCCTAATATTTGTTTATTGTCTAATTGGCTCCGGTAGCTTAGGCTACCAAGTGCCCTGGTACGGCCGAGAGTGGGGAGAGTCCGCTCTCCCTCTCGAAATGCTCTCACATGGACACGCGCATAAAGCCTCTGACAGGGAAGTCCTACTCACTGCCTTCTCGTGGCAGGAGTGTTGTTTACGAAGTTGAGAGGACGTAAAGCGAATGTCCGGCACTTTAACCAGGTTGGTGGACATAGAGAGTCCACCTAGGGGAGTTTGAAAACCCTCACTCCAAACCAATGGTGCACATGGGCTCCAGTGTCCAGAAGGAACAAATGGCGTATGAGCCAATCGTTGGTCACCGGCTACCATGGGACTGCATCTCTGTTGTGTCCCGATAAGAATAATGAGTGGTAATTATTTGGGATCTATTTATGGACCAATACTGTGCGTATATTTTTGTCGTATAATTGCTAATTAACTAAACTATTCATATTCATGTCTCTCTTATCATAAGCTTTATTTTAACCTATGAACTGTTATTGTACGATTTTCCATTTCTGAATTATTCCCTGTGCATTAATCACTACCTCCCACATTCACAGCCACATCTGGCTAATTCTTGTACAAATACTGTTTCATATTTTGTTGATACGTTGTAGTCTGCTTGATTGGTATATAAACTCAGTATGTTTGAAATACATGATTCATATTGCAGAGGCTGAGACTGGTGTTCTGAACTTAACTGGCTGAGCTAGGTGGAAAGCAGGTTCAATCAGAACTCTACGCTGCTCGCACGTGTTTTACGCAACCTTGATCCGATCGATAATTTGCTGCTTCTGATTGGCGGCTTTGGGCTATAACAATCTTCTTACGTTGCTCCATTGTCTTGTGGATCAGACCTTCAGGTCGAAGGCTACGGGTGTGGGCCCCTAAGAAAATCATCTGCTTCGATTTGGGCACCCGTGCATTATCACAGCCCTCACACATATGAAATGAGATTTGTATGGTGTATATGTATTTGGTGCCTCTTTGTACCAATATCTATGTGTTAAAATAAATAAATAAAATAAACTGTCTCATAGAGACAGCTGTCTGAGATTGGTTACACACAGCCTTTTTGTGGGAAGTTTTTAAGGTGTTAGCTGCGTAGTTTAATGGCTTTACCACTGGAAACGGAAATCCATGTGGTAAGATAAGGTGTAATGTTTTTAGAGTCGGTCTTTCCTAACCCCTTCTTTCCATTGTGGAATGACAGGATCTCTGAGGGAAAAATTTTACTTTACAGTCAACAGTACGACTTCATCATCAGACTTAGAGTTTTTGGTTTTACTCGTACCGTTCATCAACTGACCTATCTGATATAGTAATATCTAATGGGAAAAGTGTTCCAACCTATATAAGTCGGTTGGATCATGATGATAACCTCATCTATCCACCTCCTGAACCTGTCGGCTATGGTTGATAGGTAAACATTCATCAACTCATTAAATAAAAAAATCTGTAGTATATCTGACAAGAATAATAAGTAGCAATAATCATATTATTATTATTAATTATTCTACAAACAAATTTTAACGTAGACAACAGATTAAATTGTTAAAAAACAGACAAACAACCATAGAAATCATTCAAAAAGAGAAACGAGTTAAAGGATGAAAAAGCTGGTGATAATGAATTGAATAGTCGGTAAATAGTAGCTGCAAAGTATAAGATGATTATTACAAAAACTACAGTAAAAATACAATACAAAATGATTATAATAATAATAGTAATAATTATCAACTAAGGATTTATTTTCATGATAGATGGTCTCTTGTTCTTTTCTTTTTTTTGTTGTTGTTGATTGTAATTCAATCGACAATATAAGAATTTGTAGTGGTAGTAGTAGTGGTGGTGGTAGTGGTAGTAGTAGTAATAGTAGAGAAAGAAGAGAAGAGAAAAGAAATTTTTCCTAACTAATAAGTTTACTAAACGGATTATTATTATTTCTCTTTTTTTTTGAAAAAGAAAAAGGAAAACAGTACAAAAATCATTAAACAAAAATTGTTTATTGTTATTACTGAAGAATGATTTTGTAAAACTAGACAGATAGAAATAAACAAGTAGGAAACAAAAAGCCTAGTTATTAGTAAAGAAAAAAAGAGAGTGCACTGAAAATTGTAGTGTTGAACCCCTTAGAACGTTGTATAATTAAGATACATGATTATCACTGTTGTATATGTATAATGATATTTATGTTTTTTTTTAAAAAAAAGAGAATCTATTTTCAGAAATAGTAAGGTAGAACGATCTAGTTGTATACGTTTATATATAGTTATATAATTTTGAGTATAATAATTAAGCTTCAGTTTGATCTTCTTGTTCATTAATTGGACTTTCATCTTGTATTAATCTCCCAGTAGTTGTACTATATTTACGATTTTTATGAAATATACAATTTGATGCACCTTTTGGTTGATCATATTCTTCCATTGATAATGATCTATTTCTAGCTACAGGTATTGTACTACTCATTCGTCGACTAACTAAGCCACCAGCTAAAATGAAAAAAGTATATTTATGTATGCTCTATTTGTTACAAATGTAGGTAGTTATGCCAAAAAATGCCCTGGTACGACCGAGGATGGAGAGAGTCCGCTCTCCTTCTCGAAGTGCTCTCACATGGCCACGCGTATACAGGCACTACCATGGAAGTACTACTCACTGCCTTCTCGTGGCAGGAGTGTTGTTTACGAAGTTGAGAGGACGAAAAGCTAGTGTTCGGCGCTTTAACGAGGTTGGTGGATATGGAGGATCCATCTAGGGAAGTTGAAAAACCCTGATTCCAAAGCAATGGTGCACATGGGCTCCAGGATCCTGCGGGAACAAATGGCGTATGAACCAATCGTTGGCCCTCGGCTACCATGAAACTGCATCGTCTTACGTTGCTCCACTGCCTTGTGGATCAGACCTTTAGGTCGAAGGCTCCGGGTTTGGCCCCTAAGAAAACCACTCGCTTCGGTTTGGGCACCTGGGTAGTATCACACACAAATCAAGTGACTTGTGTGGCGCATATGTATTCGGTGCCCCTTTGTACCAATATTTATGCGTTCAAACGAACAAAGTTATGCTAACCTTTTGACTTTTACTCACTACATTTATGACTCAATATCGAGATTTTAGTAACTAGGGAATCATCGCTGACTACTTGTTCCATAATTTAATATCAGAATTTATTCACATTTTTTAGTCTTTAGTCGAATGAATACATTTTGTTAAAATAACATGCATAGATAAATGCATTCTATTTAGTTCATAAGCAGTTAATCGGAAAGTTGGTCAGCAAGCAGAAAGCACAACACATCACACTTATTAACATTTCATCAACATAAGAGGTCGATGTTCTCCATTGCTTTGCAGCAGTCTTGTAGTCTTGGTGACTTGCATTGAAACGTTTGATATACTTAAAGAGTTGTTTACTTTAGCGTGTTATCATTATTAAAAGTAATCAATATTTCTTGGATTTCCTAAGAATATTCGTTATTAAAAAGTATGGAGGCTCACTGTACGTCTTTATTGAACAGACAACATAGTGTGTTACTTTTTAATATAAAACTGTGTATACAAGTGAATAAGCAATGCTTACTTTATTTGGTAAAATTAGTTATGATTTTAATTAGAGAAATCTTGTTTATCTATCTGTCTATATATATATATATATATATATATATATATATATATATATATATATATATATATATATATATATATATATATATATCGATGTTGGTTAGTTGTATTGCCTTTAAATGGCAGTTTATATTAAAGCTGTTGTATGGAATCAGTCGATTCCATTAGCTTACTCCACATTGTCTATACATCAGTCTTCCATTTATCATTTCACTGATCTAAATTGTTCTCACAATGACAACCCGACCGTAGCTGCTACCTTGCGTTAGTCGTGCTTGTTTATCGTCATGACTGAGCCAAGCTACATTAGCTGGAACACATCGTTCCTTTAGGTTTTACCATTTCAGGCAGGTCGGTTGTAGAACGGTAAGACAAAATGTAACAACTTAAAGTTCGAGGGAGAAGTCGTACTGTTGACTGTAGATGGGTATGACAGCAGTAAGGCGTTTCCTTCGAACAATCGACATCTGCAGCGATGCTGTCTTTTCAAAACAGAAGGTAGGGATTAAGAAAGGTAGATCCTAAAATGTCACACCCTACAGATTTCCGTCTCCGGTAGTAAGGCATTTTGAAGTGGAGAGCTAACACATCAAAAAGAATCGTGCCCGAAAGGCCTCAAACAGTTTTCCATTAGGCTCCTCATATCTATATCGGCAACCGAGAACATTCTGTTGATGAACAAATCCTTCCTTAACCTCTTAATAAGTCTTTCATCCGCACGGGTAACCCTTCTCAGTTATTTTTATCACCATGCGGCATCAATACTAATGATTTGAGTTCATGAAATGTTATTCCCGGTCTGCTGAAACCACGGTCTAAACCACATGTTGAGAATGTTAATGTTCAGATCTTGTATCAGGTAGGAAAACAGGATTCTCCAGTAAGGACTCTAGGATCTAGCGCTATTGATGTATGCTGCGTTCCCAAAACGCGCATACTGGACCTAAGAACGGTCATTCATTTCACCCCACCTTGTCAATGTAAAGAACAATCACGATTTACCCTTCGAGTATCTGGAAGCCCCGCTGCCACCTCCCCTGGCCTCGCTGGTGTAGACAGCATTATTTTCTAAACCAGAACAGACGCTGTTAGAGTGGGTTCCAATAGATAGTCATTTTGACTAAACGGAACAGTAAGAGTTCGAAAAGATCGGGACACATGCCGTTGTCTTCTCATTATCTCTGCCTACCCTCCCACTGATGGATTTTATAGGAAGCCATCCAACTTGCTTCAAAAAACCAAACGCTCTGGTGTAGCAATAGTGGCGGGTGATTTTAATGCTCCAGTGGGTAAATTAAACCAATCCGAAAGGCACTTACGTGGATTTTATGGTATTGCGACTCAGCGAACAGATACTGGAGACTGTCTATTGTAAATATACCCAGATAACTGTTTATTTCCGGCAAACAATAACTTGGAACAAAACGAGAAACATCGTCTGACATAGGAAGCTTTACAATAGACTCACCTATGAACTCAAATAGATCACATTGCCATTATCCATCACTGGAGGGGGCGTTAGAAGACTCGCTCGTTCTAGAGCACATGTTTAGACTTGGACTAGGCTCTAGTTTGAGCACAGATTTGTCAGCGTCTTACTGGACATAGAAACCCCTTAGAGTTTAACTTAATGATGAAAAAATTAGGAATATATTTCAGGAACAACTAGAAAAGGAGCTATTCAATCTTAAAGGTGATATCAACCCCGAGGTTGCTTGGTACGATATCTAAAAGACTGTGGAAATAGTAGCAATATATACTAGCAACTTAACGCAAAAGGTTGGGAGAAATCAGTGGATTTCAGTAGCGTCTACAGCATTGACGGGTGCTTGTAGATTCATCTCATCTAGAGCTGAACAAAATAAGAAGGCGAGACAGCTTAAATGTAGGGTAACAGAAAGCCTACATTACGATAGTGAACAGTGGTGGGTAGCGAAAGTAGAAGAAATGGAAAAGGCAGCAGAGATAGGTAACAGCGGACAAGTGATCAGACTTATCAAGGAATCGAGTCCAGTTAGATTAGCTGTAACCTTAGCTAAAATCTGGGAACTGGACGTAATCCCATCTGCCTGGTCTTGATCGCTGATTGTCCCAGTTCACAAGCAAGGACAATAATCCTCTTGTGACAATCACGGATGAATCAGCTTAACTAATGTAGTGTCTGAAATATTAGCCTCAACAATACTTAGACGTCTAGCTCATGAAGAACATACTAGGGAAAATCAGAGTGGTTTCAGACCTGAACGTGAATGCGTAGAAGAAGCATTCAGCTTTTGGCAGATTCTGGAACATAGACAAACTTTTCGACGTTCGTTTGTAATAGTATTCCTTGACCTTCAATCGGTGCTCGATTCCGTTTAACGCGTTTGTTGCTGAAAGGGGTACCAAAGAAGTAAACTAATCTTGTATATACTGTTTACTCGAACACCACTGGTCGAATAAGAGCTTATGGCAAGCTGTCATCGGAAGTGGTTACTTCAAGTGATGTTCTTCAGAGTTTTCCTCTTTCCCCATTTTTAATTAACTTCGTTATAGACGTGCTTTTAGAGATAACACTCTCATGATCTGACTTTTCAGGAGTTTATTTTCTACCAGAAAATTCACTTGCTGACTTAGAATACGCAGATGATATAGTTCCTTTTGGTGAAGACGCTGGAAAATTACAGAGTATTCTAACCACCTAAAACAATAATCCAAGTATGTTTGAGATGCGGTTTCTTCAAGCCAAATGTAAAATGTAACTTCAGGATTGGCTTGCATCATCGCCTAAATTCATGATAGGAAGTAAAGTGGTTGAACGCATCAATCACTTCACTTGTCTTGAGAGTCTCATCAGTTTTGACAGTCTAGAGTCTGACGAAATTTCGGCACAGATTCAGAAGGCTCGATTGGCTTTTGTCCACTTGAGTCACTTGTGGCGTAGGCCAGGTATCCGTCTTCTAAACAAAGGCAAAGTTTATTGCGCAGCAGTTCACTCTGTTCTACTTTATGGATGTGCAACATGGCCATTAAGAGGAGAGGATATTCGTAGGTTACTGTTATTCGATCATAGGTGTCTTTGAAGCGTTTCTTGTATATTTTCGGACCACGGAGTCAACAGTGCCTAGGAATAGAGTACTAGGTAAAGATGGCAAATCAATTGATGGGGTAGTAAATCTTGATCAATTGAGGTAGTTGGGACATACGTTACGTATGCCCAACAGATGTTTTTTGGTGTAGCAGTAGGCTGGAGGTTAGCTAGGGGCGGCCAAGCCAGAAGATGGCACCAGTCCATGAAGTTACTGACAGTTGGACTTGGCCATGTTATTAGGTGTAGATTACCTGGTTGTGGTCCGCATGATCATCGTAACCAATGATTAGAGACTTTGAATGACATGGCTCAAACTCGTTTGCAATGACACAGGTGCATCTATTCTTTGTCTTTCCTCAAATTTGGAGATCGTATATTCCTCAAACCTTTTCTTGTTTTTATTTTAATAATTTATATTTTCTTTTCGAATAGTATCTTTGATTCCCAATCTTTCCTATTATCACTAATACTGTTACTATCCCCACTATTCTGGGCTATGGCCCGACAACTTCATCTCTTTATGCTAATGGGGTATGACAACTTGGACCGATATACATACATACAGGTTCTATGTTATGACTGAATGACTCACAGTAAAAAATCTTAAAACCTTTTATAATAGTTGTAATGATACAGAATAATGATCCAACGCCCATCTGTAGATTCTAGTTTGAATAAATGTCTTACAGGTGATGTATTCATATTTACAATTAATGTTCTCATTTTGTACAAAACAAAATGATGATACATGGTAATCATTTTAATTCATACAACTTCCATATTTGATTTTGGATTAATAATCAACTGGTGGCTTAGTCGATAAAGCACTGAACTTTTAGTCAGTAGGTCATATGTTTAAAGCTTGTTCTGAATGTTTCAGTTTTTGGAGTTTGGTGCTATTACCATTCTAAGATATTAGGTATTCAGAATAAGATGACAGAAAACTCTATAGTCTCTACATAATACACGTGATGTGTAGTCATTCAGATTAATGATCGCATCTCAAATTGATTTATTGAGTTCAGTGAAGACTTGAAGGAATAGACAAAATGAAATTTGATCACAATTCAGTGATCAAACAGTATTAATAATGTGCCACAGAAGTAATATGTAATAAAGAACTGAGTACATAGCCAAGTACAAAATAATATTTAGAATTCCTATAAATAAAGCTTACATAATAAGTTAGACATTAACACAGCTGGATGCCGGCCTTGAGGTCTAATGGTTAAGTGCTCGCGCGCGAAACCACTAGATCCTGGGTTCGAATCCCGCGAGGTGCGGGATCGTGGGTGCGCACTGCTAAGGTGTCCCATACTAGGGCGGAACGGCCGTCCGGTGCTTGCAGGTTTTCCATGGTGGTCTAGCTTCAATTGACTCATGATTTCAACTTGTGAAATTACATAATAAGTGTTTAAATTTACTTAAGGTAATGAATGAATCATTATTATAATATTTATATATATATATATATACTTACCTAGACCTAATCCTTGGATAAAAAATTGTAGACATTCAGCAACTTTTTCAGGCTGAATGTAAAGTAAAAAAATTAGCTGGTTTAATTTTTAATTAAAACTAATGATTATAGATATATATATCCATATTGTTTTGAGAATAAATTACACGAATATTCATAATAGAATACAAAGCCAGTAATTACATGAATCTTGATTAAAAAAAAGCATAATCTAGTTTGATGATAGCCGTACAATGCTTGGATTAGCAAGACTGAATAACTGATATGACGTTTGAATAGAAATATTTTCTGTTTTGCGGTTTACTAATATAATAGAATTATATGGCTAGTGATCTAAATTATACGATCACTAGACTGGATACTCGATCAGTAAAATATGCACAAACTCAACCATGTTATACCAAATACGCTATTCAAGAACAAAAATTAGAGAACTAGAGTATAGACTAGACAATACTTCACTCAACATGGTCTACAGTTTACACTCAGTATTTCCTGAGTAAAAATCAATGATAAAAAGTAAATCACATGTTGAATAGTTAGTAAGTTGTGTCTATCAGTTCACGCTTACTGGTCAATTACATTTAAGTTCACTAGTCACATATCAGTGATAATTTACTGTCTAATATTTCAAAACAATCTAATCTGAAGATTTTAAAAGGAAAATTGAACAACATTTTAAATGAAGTATAGATATAGGTTCTACATCATTTAGTCAGTAGATCATATGCAACATAAAACCTGGTACATATGTACATCGGTTGAAGTAGCTATACTACATGACCATAGGAAATTGAAATATATATTCCAAAGTGGTAGAATTACTGACAGTATGAGTAACAGTAAAAATGTTAGCTGTAGACAACATAATTCAGACTTTCAGATCCGATAGATGACAAAAAGTGAACGCCCTACACCATGAAGACCGATTCTAAGCTACATTAACTAATGTTTTAAACCAGTGACCAAAATTATCATACCGACGCTAATTACACAGTTTATACCTACCAACACAGATTAGAACATCAGCTAAGGCCTACGTGGACTTGTGCTACGTTTATCGTTTAGCGTATTTACGCTTTCTTACAATCTAATCTTAACTTAGACACCATAGCTCATTGAGACAGGGATTGGTTAAACATATGTGGGCACATGTATCGACTTCCTCAATGTGTGGAGGTTCACAACCTCATCAACTGATTTACCACTCTTACCAAGTACTTTGCATTCAACCCTGCTACTTACTCCGTGATAAGAATATACGTGATCAGTGCTTCGAATGCATGTAATGTTCAAAACCTGCAGCATGAGGATGTCTTCGACTTTCAGAGAGCATATTTGAAAAACCATAAGATAATACAAAGAAAACACTTGGGTCATATACAAGCTATTTACAGGTCGATGAATAAGTAGCTCAGGTCAAAAGTGACTTAAGCTCAAGCTAAAATTCAGTTAGACATCAAATCAACAAGTCTGATGAAACTTTGGAGTTAAGTGAAATGTTTGACACACTTCATTCATTCCTTACAATTAACTTATTTATGTACTTCTATATTATTGTAGAAAGTTAAAATCAACAATATCTATATGATTATGTGTATAAATAAAAATATATACACATATCATAACCTTATTAGAATTAATGACAATTAATCTTAATGGCTTATGATATTTCATGTTTATCATTCATGTTTATAATTATTTTATAAAATTTCATAGAATTAGGTCAATACTTCAAAGGGATTTAAATAATTACATAACTTTCTATTTTGTTATCAAAAGGAGAAATTAAAAAATATGTATATAGAATAAAACTTAGATACATAATTTGATAAGATTTTGACATGTATACTACTCGCATCAAGTAATTAGCGGATATATCAATTTGGTAAATATTTATTTGATTTTCAATGAATAAATGGTAAATAGAATATTGACTATATATATATATATATATATATATATATATATATATATATATATATATATATATATATATATATATATATATATATATATATATATATATATATATATACATATATATATAGTGTGGGTTTATTAGGTTGCCCTCAAATACCCTGGTATGGCCGAGAGTGGGGTGGGCCCGCTTTCCGTCTCGAAATGCTCTCACACGGTCACGCGTATACAGCCTCTGTCAGGGAAGTCCTACTAACTACCTTCTCGCACCATCGGTGTTGTTTACGAAAAAGAGAAGACAAAAAGCGAATGTCCGGCACATTAACCGGATCCCAAACCAATGGTGAACATGGGCTCCAGTACCCTGCGGAAACAAATGGTGTATGAAGCAATCGTTGGTCACCGGCTTACATGGGACTGCATCTCCTCACGGCGCTCCACTGCCTTGTGGATCAGACCTTCAGGTCGAAGGCTCGGGGTGTGGCCCCTTAAGAAAACCACCCGCTTCGGTCTGGGCACCTGGGCAGTATCACAGCCCACACACACAATTATGGTGTGGCGCATATATATTTGGTGCCCTCTTGTGCCAATATTTTTGTGTCGAAATAATAATAATAATAAAGGTTGATGTTGAATCATATACATCGTTGAAATTCAATTACTTTCAACTTAAAACCATGGTTATGTAATATTATCGATGATTATTTATTGTAATTCAAATGACTGTATGCAATTAGAAGGAAACCCTAATACTTAGTGTTACACAGAATATCTGTAATAATGATATGCCTAATACAAAAATGTTTCGAATCTATGTCACTCAGTATCACAATTAGTGATGTTATCACTAAGCTGTTCAGTTCCCTAGTAATGATTGAAAGCTCTCGAGAATTCATCTACTGAGCATTCAGAAGATGCAAAAAGACTTAAACACTTTATTCAATCAACATTCAGTGGAAACTTTGCAAACACTTCTAAAAATGCAATGGATTATGTGAAACACTCTGATTGGATAACTCTCTATAGTGTTATTGTCTCAAGAAACTCCCCCGAATATCAGGGTCACTTGTATATCTATAGGTTCTTCTGCTTTCTGTACATAGACTACTTTTGAAAGCGAAGTTTTTGTCCACATTTTCCATCTTATATATTCCGTTAGAGATGTAAGCTAGGAGAATTCTGGGGAATCGATGAATGGCCTGGCAGTTATTATCAAGAGTTTGAGCACCCGATATATCAGTGACCTGCAGTAGCATTGATTGTTTTAATATAAGCTGCTACTATTACTACTGCGACTACTCAGTGATTTTTCTCTAAAAGATTTAGATATTTATTTTGTGGTAACATGCCAGTGATAACTCTTAAAGATACTGTAATTCATTTCCTATACAGTTGAATGTGGTGAACAAAGAAAAATATATAGAACTATAGTAAAGTATACACAGATAATTCTTTTATTTATTTCATGTTGAAGACTATTTTTAACCTAGTGAATTTCTTGCAAATTATTCACAAAAAAAGACAATTCAAAAAATTATTATCGAATTCAATGTTTATTCAATGTAAGAATAGACTTGTAATTTATAATGAAAAAAACCCAATTTGTTTGTATACTAATGCTGTAATGGAGTTTCGACACGTGTACTACTACTACTACTATATATATATATATATATATATATATATATATATATATATATATATATATATATATATATATATATATATATATATATATATATATATATATATATATACATCGTCCTATGAGAATGGATTGTGTTGATCTACTCTTACTTCAATTAGTTAATACCTATTTTCTTGGAGAAATATAAATTTAGAATGATCGAATACGTCGATGAGAAAATAAAACACGACTAGTATGTATGAATGTTTTTTCAAAAGGAAATTCTTACATCTTCTTCTCTCCCTATGTGTGTACAGTGGGAAATGTATTTAGGCAAATGTCTTGTTGTTGTTAATTATACGGTATTTTTTGTAATTTCGAAATATTGAAAAATGTAGTTTTTAGAATGAAGTAATTCTGGTTACTTAATAACATTAATTTAATAAAATTGCATAATGATATATGAGTAGATTGCGAATAAATAGACCATTGAAATTACTACAATCTCCACAAAACCCATCTGATATTAATCAACATATGCTCACTAGTGACTGGCTTCACGAGGTATATCCTGGAGTTCTAGTGAGAAGTAGTGACCAGTGGAGTTCAACCAGGTCTGTTGTGAGATATCAACTCACTGAAGACAATGGTGAATGTGTCGCTCAATTTCGTGGATTAGTTGAAGCTAGGGATTAACACCGTTGGGTCCCGTTTCAGTGGTCTACTGGTTAAGTGCGCGTGTGCGAAACCACTAGGTCCTGGGTTCGAATCTCACAGTGGGCGAGGTCGTGGATGCGCACTGCTGAGGAGTTGCACAATAGGACGAAACGGCCGTCCGGTGCTCACAGATTTCCCATGGTGGTCTAGCTTCAATTGACTCATGATCTTAACCATTGAAATAGAACATTTGTTTAGTTATGATAATAATACTAATGATAATACATAGATTTTGCGAATAAATCAGATGTGCTTTTCTTGAATTGAACATTCACTGATTTATACAATACGCATGTCGTATAGTTTGTGTCGTGGAATTATCTTAGTTAAACAGTTACTGAACATCAGGAAGCACTAGACAATTGTTTTGTCCTAATACAGGACTCAATAGTGTGCATCCACGATTCCCTAGGAATGGAATCAAGTACGCAGTACATCGTAACGATTTAAGTTATAAATGTAAATCACTGAACTACAACCCATAGGTCGAAATATTAAGCTCTTGAAGAGAGTATCAGAGGTTCTTGGTTCTAGCTTCAATAAGCTCACAAATGTCCGCTGGTGGTAAGCCCCATACTGGGACGGAATATTTGTCTAATGCTCCCTTACTTTCAGTGGTTACTTATTAAGATCAATCCTTGATATAAACTATGAAATTCAATAATCTTTATTTTCGGATCATCTAAATATATGGTTGTCAGTTCACCAGCTGTTGCGTGACACGGGTTTCGTCTGTTTCTAAGCCATGGAATTAAAAAAAATTAGTGTTGGTTGTTTACCTTAATTCTCAAAACTGATGACAAGATAAGAAGTTATCTTCAAAATAAATACATGTATTTATAACATATTCCAGTCTTATTATAAATACAACATAATTCTTACCTGTTCACTTAATACATTCGCCACATTATCTAGTTGAATCAGTTCAACTTTGCCTTGTAGATTTGGATCATTGCGTACAGCGGATAGAACAGCATTGTATAGACGAAAGACTGTATGATTATGTGATGCTAATGCACCGGTTAGAAATAAAACGGGACATCTAGAAATATAAAAAATGCCAGTTATGATGCAGTGTCGATTTGTTTAAAACAACCATAATCTAGTCTATTTATACAGTCTGGAAATAACAGTATGAATTATTGGATGTCAATTCACATTGGTGTGAAAGTGATGGAATCTCCAGGAGATTTGAAGTTACTGGGTTTCATCCTTCTTGATGAGCCTTGTCAAAGCGTTTTACACTACAACATAACAGCTATTCAGTGCTCTTTTTGTACAATGATTGCCTAGCTAGAATTAATCTCTTGGGCGGACTATCTTTAAATTTCACAATATCCATAATCTTCGTTTAAATACTTACTTACTTACTTACGCCTGTTACCCCTCGTCGAGGAGCATAGACTGCACACCAGCACTCTCCGTCCAACCTCGTACTAAACAATCCTTTCTATTTGTTTCCAGTTGCTATTCATCCTTTTCATGTCTGCTTCCAATTTTCGACGTAATGTGTTCTTCGGCCTTCCACTTTTCCGTTTACCTTCAGGATTCCAAGTTAGGGATTGCCTCGTGGTGCAATCTGGTGATTTCCGTGATGTATGTCCTATCCACTTCCAATGGCTTTTCCTAATTTCCTCTTCAGCTGGAAGCTGGTTCGTCCTCTCCCACAAAGGGCTGTTGCTGATGGTAGCCAGTCCACGGATACTGAGTATCTTGCGTAGACAACTGTGTATAAATACTTGTATCTTTTTAATGATGGTTGTAGTAGTTGTCCAATTTTCAACTCCATACAGTAGAACTATCTTGACGCCTGTAGCTCTTCTAGGGTTACTGCCTATCTCAAGTCCGTGTAAAGGAGGAGGGTCAGGCATTGGGTAGACAACCCCATCCCGTTAAAAAAACCTTGCTAAAAAACGTTAACCAGATTACACAAATTAAAATATTGAAACTTTGCCGTGGGAGTTGAGGGAAGAATTATGTTCCCCCAGGATGACAGCCGAGAATCTTCGGAAATCACGAGGCCGATGCTCCTTCTAATAACCAGAACAACAATTTTTATAGGTACATGGAACGTCCGGACAATGCGGGAGACCGGAAGGATCAGTCAAGTAGCGACGGAAACGAGGACATACAATTTGGCAGTACTCGGAATCTTCGTTTACCATGAATAATTATTCCTTAAACTCTAGATTATAAACGTCTTGTGTCGGGAAAAAACAACGATTATCTATAGAAAATCACTTAGTTTCAATTCCTTAAAGATCGATAATAATAAAAGAATGTTTCATGGAAAAACAAACGTTTTTAGTTGGAATACTGAATGAACAGTAAGCACCCACTATGTAGATTCAAACCAAGTGAATGACTCAGTGAAGTGCTATTTTTTCGGAGATTTGATTCTCAAAGCTGCACAACACTACATGTTTATGTACAATAATAATGTATAAAATTCCTTTATTATTATTATTATCAACTTGTCAAACAAAATAACTTGGGAGTTAAAAATAAGCTAACGTTCAAAATTCCATCATTCCCATTCGGAGATTAAAAATATAATCATTAGAAATTTAAAACAATTGTTCCAAAAATACCATAAAAGTTACATGAAAGAGCTAAAGCGACCTTAGTTTATCAAGTTTTCCTGTAATTAAGTATCAGTTATTTCTTTAAAAGTTAACTTCAACGGTATTTTCCTAATTCAGCTTTTCGCAACAACATTTGCCTTTATCTGATTGGTTGCTATGGCTTTTAGTTTGCTAACTTTGTTATGGGCTCCAAGGTTATTTCATGATACTATGTAAACAGAGTTGCTTCTTTTTAATTTTTGACTTCTTTTTGGGACGTAAAGCTACGCTAAAGTCCTTTGTTCGCTATCTCTGTCAGCATGTGGAATATTAATCTTGGAGTGTTGTCATGTGAGTAAGGAACATTCGAGATCCCATTCATTTCACCTATAATAGAACAATTCTCAAACATTTGCAAATAAAATTTTCTGTAGTTCAACCTGAAAAGGTTTGGTTTTTGTGAAAACTGTAGGTTATCAATGTAGTATTTGAATTTCGCGCCCATAGTTAGTGATTAGAATTGAACTCTAATCAATCTTTGCTGGTGTATGTACATCCTGAATAGATTGTTTCAACATGATCATTTGTCAAAAGCTGAATAGAATGGATAGATTGTAGCTAACAATCGAACGCACTATACACATTTAGGCCAATTGAGGACTGTTCAGCGAAAATTTCATGAATCGAGTCTTAATATTAATAACAATACTGCGATAACGGTAAATCTATGATGAATTCAAAACATAACGAAATACGCCTCCCATATTCGACTTCTAGTCCTAATCTATCAATTCTATGCAGTCATGGCAGTTCACATAAGTTTATTTCGCATAGATAATTCTGGCTTCACAATGTACACGGTAAGCTTTCGTTCATCTTGTGAACGACACTAAATCATGAGTTATGTTCTAGCTGAGTAACCTATGTTCAGAAAGTCCCCTCCTATTTCGTTCATTAGTTAGAACTGTTTTTCTGCTAGTTCCGAAGGTTGTTCATTTCTGGGTAAACTTCTGATGCTTAAACTGAAACCTTGTAAATTTATACTCCTCAGGGAATATAACTACAAATGAAAGTATATGTAAATCTGACTATATGTATCTGTAAAAGCTTCCATAAATAATACTGTATTCTCCAATAAAAGCAATAGAATATGTACCCTAGAAGCCAATTTACTGTCATTAAGTTAATTTATCCTAGTAATTCTCTGTTAGCAATAGTGGTATAAACAAAAATACTCCGGACACTATATAATACCATCAGATTAATTTAAATGGAGACTTGTGATATTTTTGAATTATGATTTATATTAGAGTCCTGGATGCAATTTTACTATTTTGGGGTTCGCTAGTTGAATGTACCTGGATTCAAGTGTTTGCGTTCACACTAACACTCGAGTCCAATATTTATCACTTCAAATATCAAACCATTATTTACCAAGCTACGGAGTCGAGATAGTTGCTGACCTATTCAAATGGTAGTCAGATATTTGTAGGGGTTTTGAGTCATTCATGTTGTTGTAATATTTAAGATTGGATTTTATTAGTCTGTACTATGATTTTCTACAACAAATTCTTTATATACGAAATTAGATTTATAACAACAAAGTTATTCCATTTTTATCCTATCATAAATTATTGAAAATTTAAATGAAGGAAACTAAACCAGTTTATCAGTTTTACATATATATGGTTACTTACCATATATTTCATAAGTTAATTCATCTATTCATACTAGTGTATACGAGTAACTGATCGGTGGATAATAGTGTTTAATTTGAGTAAAAAAATTTATATATCAGAATGAGTTTTGTCGAGATTTTGGGAAATTTCACAGGTTGAAATCATGAGTCAATTGAAGCTAGACCACCATGGGAAATCTGTAAGCACCGGACGGCCGTTTCGTCCTATTGTGCGACTCCTCAGCAGTGCGCATCCACGACCTCGCCCACTGTGAGATTCGAACCCAGGACCTAGTGGTTTCGCGCACGCGCACTTAACCATTAGACCACTGAGCCGGCATCCAGCGGTGTTAATGTCTAACTTCAACCAATCCAAGAAGTTGCGCCACCGAACACCAATGTCTTCAGTGAGTTGATATCTCACAACAGACCTGGTTGAACTACACTGGTGACGGCTTCTCACTAGAAATCCAGGAGGTTCTCCTGGATGAGCACTGCTGAGGAGTCCCATACTAGGACGAAACGGCCGTCCAGTGCTTCCAGGTTTTCCATGGTGGTCTAGCTTCAATTGACTCATGATTTCAACCTGTGAAATTTATATATGCTGTCACAAGTGTATTACCATTGTTTTAATTAATAGATTACACAATAAGATCATTTAATTTACTAATCTATTTAAAATTGAAACCAAGTGAAATGTTGAACATCATCATTTAATTGTTAATAGATGTTTTAATCATGTGAAATGTCATTCTAAATTAATAAGCAAATATAGAAATTAGACTAATATTATACATATTTTATTTGATGAATTCAATTTGACATATACTTAGTCAATAAACAAAATAACTAACAATTCATTATTTAACTTACCTTATTTGATCGACATGTTCTAGGATTTTTGTACGTCTAAAAATCATGTGTAAATTAAATAAGTTAATTCATTTGATATTTTGTAAACTACAAAATAATATAATAAAGGAAAACGCATTTTAAAAATGAATATAGTTTATTAAGATAGTTATACTGATATAATTTGCTGTATCAATCAACCTCGTAACAACCTCTCGATCTCCAGCTACTTCAAAATATCAATATTTCAAAGAAAACTGATAAGTAAAGAATCTACCGGATTTCGAATTGTATTTGAGTTTAATCAGTTGTATACCGACTAAACTTCACTAACTATTAGTTACAGAAATTATCAATCAATGCATGAAGTTGTTTTTGAACGACATTGCCGAAAGTTATCCTGCCTAGCTATCTAAAGTACCATAAATCTAAGTCAAACACTCAATCCCGGTATATTTTATTAATTCCAGTCACTCCGAAGACTCAAACTAAATCTTAACTTTATCTTCAAACTACTTAATAAACTATCCTTTACATCCAATCACGTGATTCAATATGCAGAAATTTCTCATTATGACACCCGTAATTCCTTGGCACTAGTGAGACAAACTTATTCTAAATCATCTCTTTATGTGAATTACTTTACCTGTAAATTTTCTAGACTCTGGAATAACCTACCACAATCTATCCGTACGATAAAATCACTTTATGTTAACACCATCCCTAGCAAGTTTAACTAATTTGAATAACATCAACAGTATATCACTGTGCCACATGACACACCCATTTTGGTAGACCTGATTGACATATTTTGGTAATTACTCCTTTGCTGTTCCGTGCTCTGTTTTCGTTTTAATTTCTCTAGTTGTAGATAATTATCATTAATTCGATGTGGCACAGGAAATGACCTTAATTACTCCGATCATAAATCAACAGGCTGTCCATTTAAGAAATATTATAAGTTCCGGATGATGCATTGGATCGCTGTAATACATGTACTACCTAAACAATTACTGAACTAGCATACTTGAAACTTTCTTCTATCACATGTTTGTTCCGTACATCTAATATTACTATTTATATCAAATTGATCATGCCTGTAAACTGGCGTGAATTCTGTGATTATTATTTTCGAAATATATAAATTACCAGAATCCTAACTCAAAATCATCCGTTTAGTTGAAGGGGCCAGATCGAAAGGAGTAAAAAAATTATATATAGTAGGGTCTCTAGTTGTTTATTAATTCAGTTCCAACTTTTCCGTACAAAAACAGTTTGTTCAATCTTCCACCTTAGTCTTAACTGTTCTTTATATCTTTTATAATTTTTTGTTGTTTTACTTTATAGTAATTATTTTTTCACAATCACTGGTTAGATATCATTTCAATATTCACTTAATCTCACAGTTTAAATTACGTACTGATCTGAGGTAGACAATTATCACTTATTCACAAACTATCATCATCTTAGCATCTTTCATTAACCATTCAGTTAATATATAATTTCCTTTGAATATTTGATTTTGATAAATAATTTGTAGCAAGATATCATTTTAGTATTATTAGAAATTACACAACACACTTGTATTTTATTATAGGCTACTACTTTTAGTATATAAATTGACTATTATCGTGGGTTAGTTGAAGTTAGGCATTAACACCGTTGGGTGCCAGCTCAGTGGTCTAATGGTTAAGTGCTCGCGCGCTAAGCCAGTAGGTCCTGGGTTCGAGTCCCGCGGGGGCGGGTTCGTGGATGCGCACTGCTGAGGAGTGCCATGCGATGACGAAACGGCCGTCCACTGTTCCCAGGTTTTCAATGGTGGTCTAGCTTCAACTGATTCATGATTTCAACCTGTGAAATCGACTATTGTAAAATTTAACAAAATGAAATTGACAAAAAGGAGATTTTCTTCGTTTTTTTTCTTCCATTGCTTGTGCGACTGTCACTTGAACACAAAATCAAAGAGAGTATTACAAAATATACACTAGGACATTCCATCTATTCACTACTGTCTAGTTTTCATAGGTACTCCAAGGTAAAATTAGTTTGTGACGAATACTACTCACAAATGAAAACAGTTTTCATGAAACTTCATAAAATAAAACTTAAATGTAATTTTTTGATGTTTCGATATTATGAATCCGTTTTCTTAATTTTTATTACTAATATTGAATTAAAAAAGAAGTAAATATAATTACACTAGTTCACATCTTAAATAATTCCTAACTTTAATTATATTCTACTGAACAAAAAAAAGTAGTGATAAATAATGCAACATAAAAATATTTACTTTTGAGTTTAATTAGATATTTCACGGATTAAAATCATGAGTCAATTGAATCTAGACCACCATAGAAAACCTGGAAGCACTGAAAGACCGTTTCGTCCTAATATGGGACTACCCAGCAGTGCGCATCCACGATACCGCACCCCGCGAGATTCTAACCCAGGACCTATCAGTCTCGCGCCAAGCGCTTAACCAACTAGACCACTGAGCCCGCATCCAATGGTGTTAATGTCTAACTTCAACCAATCTACGAAGTTGCGCTACATGATTTCAATCTGTGAAATTTCTGAAATCTCCAAAAACCATTTCTGATTTAATTAGATATGTAAATTGCTCATTGTAGAGGTATATTGATAAAATCATATTTACTTAATTAAATTTAGTTCAATTTCACTTCCACTCAAATATACTTTCTTATTTTGTTTCATTTTCAGTGATCTAATATTTGAAGAATGAACTGTTGTGCTTTTTTAAGCATATAATTTTTGTTTTTAAAACAACTTTGGAAACGAATAATATTGTGAAAAAAATGTTGATCAATCAGTCACTTAAAGCTGCGCTATGAACTAAGTCAGTTTGGATCAACAATATATATATATATATATATATATATATATATATATATATTCTAGTCGACAAAATTTCTGTGTTTAAACAAACTAGATATGAATAACAGAATGTTCAAAATAGCATGTATCTGAAATATATAATGAGAATATAATCAATTAAAGTTGTTAGTATATCATATAGGTCATCAAAGTGTTCAATGGAATAAGCCAAACATATTCTTTCTTTGAGGCAGTAAATTATATGAATATAATTGTTAACAAGGACCAATAGAAGTGTTGTGAAACAAATGCAATTGTATAGCTGTTTTGGATTAATAGTTGCAATCTTATTAGAGATCCAATGCAAAACTTTAGGGTAATCCAGCAAGCAACATATATATTTAGACTACGGAGTAAAAATCTATTAGACTACATTTCCGAATCCATTCTTCAACATTGATGACCAGTTAGTATTCATGTCATAGTCTTAGAAGAAGCCATCTTCAGTTCGACCAGTTCACTGACAACTTCTTTGACACATTCTATTGAGCTAGATTTATATTCCTACTGAGAGTATCAGTTGCCATAAAATCATTGCTAACGCGTCCATTAAGGATACAACCCATTTTCAAGGTTCCCTCCCAACTATGTCCTACCAATCAAGATAGACTTTGGTTATTTGTGATAAAGCTTGATTTATTATCTTATTTTATGAGTGATTCTATCAACTAGAGCTTCTTCATAGAATGCTAATAGCTTCATCTTGAAGTTAATCACTTATGAGTTTTAATGGCTTCGTGAATAATTTATATAATTTGAACATGATTTATCTCGTGAAATATATATAACTCATCAGTTAAAACATTCTCAGTAACTATAGATATAGCCAAGAAATAACTCGTTTCATTGGACTCATTATTTATTCATCTCGTGGTTAACTCTCGAAGTTCTAGTGGAAATCTGTGACTTGTGAAATTCGATAATGTTAACCATTGGTACCATTGGATGATGATCTCACTACATTATGTATTAAAAAAATACTTGAAAATGTTTATTCCTGAATTTTTACTCAATCGTTAACACTCTGAACACAAAACTAAAACTTCTTCAACTTCACTGATGATAGTTAGTCGGTTAACACCATTCAGAAGTTTCAGAGATGGTACATAAGATTGTCTACCGTTTATCTTTGGTTTTCAACACTAAACCACCTGAAATTAGTTCGTGTTGAATTAAATTATTTTTCACGACCAATGACAATATATTCAGATGCAAGTTTTATAGTGAAATGTATCAATAATCAATACTAACCAAATAGTTGTCATTCGATCAACAGTATGTTTATCTATTTTGTTAAAACTAGAAGTCAATATGATGAAATAATCAAACGTAAAAGGAAGGGTAAAAAAAACCGAAAAAGAAAATTTTACTAACACATCATTAACAAAACTCTTATATAGGAAATGAATGAACTGTTTTTCTGTAGACGCGCGCCTACTTACTTAAGTATTTGTACGCATACATAAGATCAACGTATACTCGTGTTGATGTACATTTACATAGAAGAAGATTTCTATCAACATAAATTAAAACCACGGTAACTAAAAAGAAACACTGAATATTTATTGTTCTGTTTTCTCAACAAAAAAATACCACCTTGATATTTGAGCTTATTTGGAATTATTACAGTTTAATATTTCACATTCAAATATATCTCTAAGACAAAAAAAAACGTTTTCACCTTTCTCTAACAATCTATAACTTGAATGGTAATAAACATATATATATATATATATATATATATATATATATATATATATATACTTATACACAAGTATGTTTATATTGAGAAATTGAAGTGATCAAAGTTACACAGATTGTTTCATTAATCGGTCAAATTTAGGACAGTGAAACAAGTAAATTTTTTCTCTTTTTTTTTAAAATTTTATTGTTAAAAATTGAATTGTAAACAATATAGATGATAAAAATTCATTTAAACAAAAAAAAATCATGATCAGTCAATAGGGTTGTATATAATGTATGTATATTATAGATTCGATTGGATGAGGTTATTTATAACTAATCTAATGTTTAATGAGCGAAGCCAGTAGGTCCTGGGTTCGAGCCCCGGGTGGTGCGGGGTCGTGGATGCGCACTGCTGAGGAGTCCCATACTAGGACGAAACGGCCGTCCAGTGCTTCCAGGTTTTCAATGGTGGTCTA